CGGTCAAAAGGAGACATGTTTTATTTTGGGTTTCTTTTTCCTTTTCCCCTTTCCTCCCTCCCTCTCTCCCTTCCTTTTGTTTTTCCTTCTTGTCGTCGAGAGGCCTATCGTCGACGACACGAGTGGACAGTTGATTTAAAAAGGTTGCTAAGCAATGTTCTAATTTGTGTTGAACTAATCGTGTTTTTTTTTCTCGAAAATTTTCATTCGCGTATAAGACCACGGACAAAACAAAAACGGAAAAAAAAAAAAAAAATTTCGGAAAACTATTTTTGTAATTTTTTTTTCTTTCATTTTTATTTTCCCCCTCCCTCCCTCCCTCCCTTTTTTTTCTATCTCAAATATAAATTAAATTTATGAAAAAATCTCCTCGAGATGAAAAATAAAATAAAAGAAAAGAAGACCTTGTTTGAAACACGATTTTAATACGAAAAAAATTTGTTCGTCCGTTCCGAACCTCCCCCGCCCTCGCCCCCCCAAATATTTTCGGACGACCAATTATTATTGACCTTAATTTTCATTTAAAAAAAAAAAAAAAGACAAGATTCCAGTTGAAAAAATTTTTTCCCAGAATTGAATTTGGAAAATGTGTGTGTGTGTGTGTGAGGAATAAGGGGAATGAAGAAGAAAATCCTGTTTTCGAATGAAAAGAAAAAATTTTTTCCCGCCCCTCCTCCCTCTCCTCCTCGATAGGAAATTCGGTAATTGTTTACCGTTAATTAAAATTTTTTCCTCCTCCTCTCCCCTCTCCTCCCATTCATTCATTCATTCGTTAACGTACCTGCTATTTATCCTCTATAAATTTTATTTGGGGGAAGAGGAAGGGGAGGGAAGGATGGGGAAGAAGCGGGAAAGCGGGTTTTGTATACAAATGTAAGAAAGGAAGAAGAAAAAGAAAAGGAAAAACGCTGTTTTGGTTTTTTTTTCTTTTTGAGATTCATAACTAGAATTGATTATGGTAATTATTACGTCGTCCTTAATTTCAAATAGGGAAACAATAGTTTCGGTAATGATGTCGAAGTCATGCTGTATACCTCTGCATGACGCATAATAATATCATCGACTTGATTTTTTTTTACGATAAACATGTAGAACGAGGTTGTAAGCTGTAAAAAAAAAAAAAAAAATATTATATATGAAAAGGTTTTTTATTTTAATAATTTAACGGGGGAAGAAAGGGAAGGAAAGGGGAAGAGGGAGGAAAAAGGCGGAAGGTATAATGGCGGCGCATAGAAAGAAGTCGTATAGTCGATGCGAGGAAACGTCGGCGTCAAAGTCGGAGAAATATTAATAATAATAATAATAAGCTGAGTGGTTGTAGTAGTAGTAGTGGTAGTAGCAGCAACAACAACATGTTTACGTTGTAAAAAATGAAAAAAAAAAATATATATGGCTTCCTGGTACACGCGTTAACGACTTTTTGCAAGGACAATTTCTTTTGGCACGCGGACAACGACGTCTTTTTTTTTTTTTTTATTAATATTATTATTATTAATTTATTTATAATCAATGTTTTGTTTGTTTGTTGACAGGTTGACGACCAAATGAAACTTTTACAACATTCATGGTCGGACATGCTCGTACTCGATCACTTGCATCAGAGAATGCACAACAACCTGCCGGACGAAACGACGCTTCCCAACGGACAAAAATTCGATCTTCTCTGTCTCGGACTACTCGGCGTGCCCACACTCGCCGATCATTTTACCGACCTTACCAACAAACTTCAAGACCTTAAATTTGATGTTTCCGATTATATTTGCGTCAAGTTTTTATTGCTTCTCAATCCGGGTGAGTAATAGTTTTTCTGTCTCTCTCTTTCTCTCTCTCTATCTCTATCTCTATCTCTCTTAATGATGATATAATATAAAGTTAACGGTTTTTTTTTTTTTAAACATGCACAAAACCTGTTTTTTTTTTTTTTTTTTTTGCTTGCTTGCTAGCTTCGTATTTAACCACAATAAATTATTGAATTAAATAAATTATTTTTAATTTAGAAAATTCTTGTTAGAATTTGGTGGAGGTGATGTCTTTAAGGTTGTACGAACGGGGCACAACCTTGAAACCTTAAATCTTTCTTTCATTTTAAATTTCTTCTTCTTGTTTTCCTTTGAAAATTTTTTTCTTTTACTGATTGTTTTATCGTTACGGTTGAAATTTCAGATGTACGCGGGATCTCAAATAGAAAGCACGTACAAGAGGGACACGAGCAAGTTCTTCAAGCTTTGCTTGATTACACGTTAACCATTTATCCACACATACAGGTAAATAAATTCATAGAAATATGATTACATTTAATAATTATCATTATCAATTATTAATAACATTTGTTTTTCTTTAAAAAAAAATAAAGGACAAATTCACAAAGTTGCAACAAGTACTACCGGAAATACATCAGATGGCGAGTCGAGGCGAAGATCATCTTTATCATAAGCATTGTTCGGGAGGGGCTCCCACTCAAACTCTACTAATGGAAATGTTACACGCGAAAAGAAAATAACAGGAGCTTTACGAACCCGAGATGAGCGTTGCTGATATTTTAAAGGTACTAAAGATTAATTTAATTTATAGTAAGAGGTCTATAATGTCGGAAAAAAAGTCGCGTTGGTTGGTTGTTAGGAGAAGGAGGAGGTTTGTAGTTTTATAACTTTTTTTTTTTTTGTCGACGACGTTAGTGTACCAATTAAACTCATCCGTCATCATCATCATCATCAGCATCGATTTCGTAGCACGTAACGTAATTTTTTAATCATATTTTCTTTTTTTTTTATTATTATTATTATTACTTGGTTCATTGTTTTTCAGCGATAAATCTCTCTTGTACCTCCTACCTTCTTCTACTTCTTCTTCACTACTCTTGTGCAGAAGATAAAATGCCAGGTTGTTGTTAATTTTTTAAAAAAAAATTTTCATTAGATGTTGGACACGATGGTAAAATAATTTTCAAATTTTTTTAAAAAGTTTAAGGTTCGTTTCAGGTTAGATCTCTTCCCCTACCCCTCCCTTTGGGTAAATATAATTTAAATAGGAGAGAAAAAAAACTAAAAAAAAATTTTTTTTTCTGGCAGATACGTGAAGAATAATAATAACACAATAATAATGATGATAAGAAGATTCACGGAGGATGGATGGAAGGAAGGGAGGAAGAAAGGAAAGAACGAAGGGGAAAATAAAAGAAAACCTAAAAATGATGAGTCGTCGAGGATGACTTTGTACCTGAAGGAAGAAGGTTTTACTCCTCCTCCTCCTCCTCCTCTTTACGGGTTCTTTTACCTTTCACCCTCGAAGTGATTCCGTGAAAAATTAACAAACGTTGTTGGGATTCACGTTCGAAATCTCGGACGATGTAAAGGAAAACGGAGGAAAAGAAGAAGGAGGAAGGAGGAGGAGAGTTCGGGGGCAGGTTGGGGGCGTTCGCAGGTTCTGTTGATTAATTACAAAGCACGCGTTCATCTCGTTCAAAATAATATTGTTAACAAAAAAGAAAAAAAAAATCATAAAACATGAAGAAAACACATACACTGCATCTTTATCTATCTATCTATCTATCTATCTATCTTTAACTCTCTCTCTTTCTCTTTTCATCTTTTCTTGCTTATTTTTTTTCATATTTAAACGTTTTGTTGATAAACGTTGTTATTTTCAAATTGGTTTTTTTTAAGAAAAACAAAAAAAAGTACCTCAATAAATGTGTGTATAGGTTACCAAAAGTAGTGGCTTGAATTTTGTCCATTTTATAAACATTTATTATTATTATTATTATTATTATTATTATTATTATTATTATTATTATTATATACATACATATATATATATATTTTTTGTAAATCAAGCGATTATTGATTGTTTGTCGTGTTTTAAGATAATGAATGAGAGAGGGGAAAAAACCGTCGAGCTTAAGGTATCGTCTAATAATTTTATAAATATATATATATATATATTAATATTAATGATAATGATAATGATATTGTTATTATTATTATTACGCTATTACTATATGCTATGATAATGAAATTGATTATTTTTTACACAAGTTTATTTTTTTTCTTTTTCTTTTGCTTCTTTTTCGTATTTTTTTTTTTTTTTTTTTTAATAAGAATTTTATTGTTGTTGTTGGGTATGTACATATATGTATACATACATAAGAGAAAATTTTAATGATAACCTTATCATCATCGATCAATAATCGTTTAAATAAATTTTAAGAAATGTTTAAAAAAAAAAACAACAAAAAATTATTATTATTATCGTTGTCGTTGTTGTTATGTTGATGACGACCACACCACTGGGCGGCGGCGTTGGGAGGGGGCAGGGGAGGGGAAAAATTTTTTTATTTTTCTTTTTTTTATCACTCGTTTGATTGTCGTAGTAAATTCGTTTTCAGCCCGATTACCCCGATTTAATGGGGGAATAATTTCGAAATCGATAATTTAGAAAATTAACCTTATCAGATAAGGATTTAAAATAGCGCGCTCGCACGTGTGTCGAAACGAGTATTATTATTATTATTATTATTATTAATAATTTCTATTTATTTATTTTTGTTTTAAAGAGGGAGGGAAGGGGAGAGGGGAGGTAACGCGCCGTTTGATTTTTTATTAAAAAAATATTTTAAAGTATAAAAATTTAGGTAGTGGTGACGACGACGATGATGGCAATACTAATAATAATTCTTTCGATTGATTATTCCCGTCATTAAATTTATTAATAATAATAATAATAATGATGGTGATGATGATAATAATAATGATAAGCGAATGAATTACACACACAAAAAAAATAAAAGTGAGAATATATTTATATATATTTGTATACACGTTACAAAAGTAAAAGTGTACGTTATTAAGTTTTCAAATTTTTTATTTTTTTAAATAAAAAAAAAAAAAAACGAATATAAAAATTATACGGATTTATATTATATAAAATTTTAAAATTTGATATTAAAACAAAAAGGAAAAAAGAAAAAAAAAATTTATCGGCACTGCTCCTTTGATTAATGAGTGATGAATTTTTTATTAATTTTTTTTTTTTATTTTTTATTAAACGAAAAACCTTTTATTATTATTATCATTATCATTATTATTATTATTCTGTTGTTGTTGTGACAGTCGTTCGGTTACAAAATTGTAATATATAATTTATTTTTGTCAAATGATGATGATGATGATGATGATGAAAGAAACGATGGTGTGTCGTTTTTTAATAGGAAAAAGAAAAGGAAAGGAAGGAAAAAATTTTATTGTTTTATTATCATTATTACTATTATTTTTATTAAATTTTAAACGAGCATAAATTTACAAAAAGAAAAAAAAAATTTGAAATGAAATTCTTATTATCATTATCATTATTTTTATTTTTATATACATATATATATATATATATTTTACTTCTTTTCTCTTTCTTTATTTGTTGTACGCGAAAAATCGATTCAGTCATTCATTCATTCATTCATTCAATCAATCGTTTTATTAACTCATGGGAAAGTAGTCTCGTCGTTGTTATTGTTATTTCTATTATTATTATTATTACTAAACATTTATTTAATAAATCGTGGTTTAAAAAAATTTAAAAAAAAAAAAAAAAAATTTACTCGCGTTAAATTTTTATAGTAATGTAATTGCGGAAAAAAATTTATTATTATTATTATTATTATTATTACAGTTGTTGTTGTTATTTATATTATTATTATCATTATCGTTATCATTATCTTTATTATTATTATTATTATTATTACTATATTATTGTAAATGTGGATAATATTTATAGTAATACTAACAAATTGTAATAAATTAACGGTTACGAATGCTTTTTTTTTATTATTATTAAAAAGAAAAATTAATAATAATGATGATGATGATGATGATGATGATCATACCGTAGATTAGAAGTTTACATTATTAATTTAAGTTTTTTATTAATTTTTTTTCTTTTTTTTTTTTTTTTTCTTTCAAGCTTTTAAATTTTAAATAAAAATTTTTCCCATTGCCTGTTTACGTTTCGTTATTATTATTATTTATTTTTTTCGGTTATTATCATTATTATTATTATCATGAGCGTACATAATAGAAATTTAAAAAGAAAAAATTTAGGAACAAGAGGGGAGGGAAGGAACAGGGGGAAGGAAATTTAGCGTCGTTACGAGATTAATGATGACGATTAAGAAAAGAAAAGCAGAAGACAAAATAATGTCGGGGGGATTTTCTTATTATCTCAGTAATGATTGGATACTTTTTTTGTCTGGGGTTGAAATCGGTGATGGTGTGCGAAAGGGGGGGGTAAAGGGTTGGGGGGTTCGGGTAGCAAGCTAAAACCTTTTTTTTTCGTGACGTCATTCTTTTATTATCACAGACGTACATTTAAAAAAAAATTTTTTTTACCTCCCTCCCCTTTTATAAATAGCATCACTTTGTGCCAAATAAAAATTATCACTTCTGCTACCATTATTATTATTATTATTATTATTATTATTATTACTTTCAAACCGAACAAGTTTCACGCGTTTGTGTTGGGGATTTTTTTCGTGGGTGAGAAATTCCAGTTTTTTTTTTATCAGGTACGAAGGTTTGGTGGAATTCGTTCCGTCGCGGTTCTTTTTCCGATTATTATTATCATTATTATTATTATTATTATTAATGATTATTTTACTAGGCTATGGGAGAAATTTTTTTTTTTTTTATTTTTTAATTGTCAAATCAAAATAAGGGAAAAAAAACGGTCATATGTGTGTATAAGTTACCTTTAATTTTAAGCAAACTTTTTTTTTTTTTTAACGGTTTAGCATAATAATTATTTTATTTATGTACTTCCGCCGCACAATAATACAAAAGACGTTCAATATTATTATTATTATTATCATTTTTCTTTAAAAAAAAAAATGGCGGAAACAAACATTAACATATACGTGTATTTTTTATTAAGAGAAAATTACGGAAAAATTTTTTTTTGGAAATCTTTTCGTTATATGTTTGTCTCTAGTGACACGACAAAAGTTTTTTTTTTTCCCCCCGCTTTTTCACGGATGTGTGTGTGCGTGTGCCTTTTGAGTGTGTTGCTCTTACGCGTGAATTCGATTACGCCATTTTGAAAAAAAAAATTCCGGAAACTAATTTGCTGGAGTTACTATTATTATTATTTCCGCTTTCCACACGGCTCATTTTATTTTTATTATTATTATTATTATTATTATTATTATTGTCACGACCGTTATTGAGTTATCATTCTTTTAAAATCTTTCTTCCCTTTTCATTTTTCTTATCGATAACAATATTATTATTTTTTCAATAAAAAAAAAAAAAAAAGAAAAATTGTGAAAAGTGACCTTTTTTTTTGTTGTTGTAAGGTTGGTAAAAAAATAAATGTCGTTCGTTAATTATTTTTAATTAATTATTAATAATTATTAATTAATATTAATATTATTAAAAATCATAATTATTAATTATGTTTATTATTATTATTATTTTTTTTTTAATTTTATAAGTGCGATCGTTTCGGGGGAACGAA